TCCATTTTTTTTTTTTTTTGGTAAACATTATTTGATGACTCTGAGGTGGAAATGAAAATACTATCAACAAATCTTATCTGTGCTTACATACCAGTCATGGTTTACATACCACTATCCATACTACTTTGCTTTCTTTCTGTGGCGGAGCAGTGTTAGACTGGGATTACTATAAATAATATTACTTGTCATCTTTCTTATAGCAGTGATATTAAGTTGGATTTTGAATGTATTAAAATATAGGGAGATTAGATTACTAGTTTCTGATATGTCTTAACTCACAAAAAAGAGCAAGGACATAATGTACTTAGGGCTGCTGAGGGATCATCTAAGGGTATAGCTGTAGAGGTATGTTGCAAATGCGTCTTGTAGTATGTAGGCCGGGACTAATAGGCTGATAACTACTAGATAGAAATTATAGCTGTTATTATACAGCCATGGACATAGCAAATAAATGAGACAGCCTCTTTAAGAAATAGTTACCTCAGAGATGCTGAGTAAATGTAATTTATTCAGATAGAAGAGATAAACAAAGCGTCTCTTTTTGCTTGGCTTTGTAAAAAAAAAATTTTTTTTCTGGTGGATTTGGGGACTAGAGAAAGATATGATTGATCGATGTGGTTTGTAGCCCAGACTAATTGCTATTGTCTTTAGGGCAGAGTTTCCCAACTTCAGCACTGTTGACATTTTTGGGCTGGATAATTCTTTGTTGTAGCGGGCTGACCTGTACATTGTAGGATGTTTAACAGCAATCCTGGCCTCTGCCCACTAGATGCCAATTATACTCCGCTAGCTGTGACAATCAAAAATGCCTCCAAACATTGCCAGATGCCTCTGGTTGAGGCAAATGCAAATACAAGATCGCCTCTGTTTGAGAACCACTGCTGTAGGGGTATTTCTAGGATGTGGTTCTAGACACAGTTGTCTCCAGTTTACAGAAGACAGCTGCCACCTTCTTACTTTCGTCTCTAATCAATGCTCTGTCGGGTTCTTAGAGCAACTAATATGGTCTCAGCTCTCTCTGTCATAATAACCAAAAGGAACATTTGAAATGCATGTTAACAGAGAAGCACATTACCCGTTAAAAAATCTATCATTAAGAAATGTTCCTTGAGACTTTTCTACTCAGGTGTGTGACCACATCAGGGTTAGCATTGTGAGTGATTGCTTCAGGGCTCTCGGGCTTGGAGGCTGATTTTCTGTGTGTGTGTGTGTGTCTTTTTCTTTCCCCAGGGCTTTACTGTGGTTGTGAGCTCGGTTCCAAATCAGAACCTAGAAATACAACCCTATGACCTCAGCATTGATATTTATAGCCGCTACATCTATTGGACTTGTGAAGCCACCAATGTCATTAATGTAACAAGATTAGATGGGAGATCCATTGGAGTGGTGCTGAAAGGCGAGCAAGACAGACCTCGAGCCATTGTGGTAAACCCGGAGAAAGGGTATGTTACTAAAATGCCATTCAGACGTCTTGGCGTCTGAGACTCTCATCAGCCTTCCTTTTCAGCCCATTTGTTATTTGCCTTTAAGTGTCCTGTGCTCCAGTGGAAAAACTTGATATTCTCCATCTACCTGCCCCTGCGTTTTCTTAGATCATTGCATTCCCCGATTTTGCTGCCTAAAATTTCCTTCTTTAGTCCCTATTGCTTTAGTTCTCATTTCTACCCATACCTCCAGGACCATTTGAACTGCAACATCCTCTATGAAGTTTTCCTTAATCTACCCAACCCCCAAGCAGGTGTGATTTTTTACCCTCTCCCAAATACCCAGCACTCCATATCTGTGCCTCTCTAGTCATACTTAGTCTCTTCCAATTTACCTTATAGTGAATTGTTTTTAATCTTATATTTCCTACCAGAGTTTAGGTTCCTTTATGATAAGAGCTAATATGTCTTTTTTCATTTAGTACAGAGCTTTTCATGTAATAAATAGTACTTATTTGCATCTGAAAGGATGATAAGGAATTCATGGAAAACAGCTTACTTCAGAAGAGTTACAGGAAAGAGATGAACTCAGAGTTAAATATAAGAAATGATTCATGTATGCCATTTTTAGTTTTGAAATGGACTACTTAGAGAAGGGATTTAAAATTTTATGTCTAGGTCTCTCTGGTTACTGCTTTTTAATTTAATTTAATTTTATTGTATTATTCTAAAAGCATAGGTGTGCCTGTGTCTAACTCTTCATTTTTATTAATCCATGAAAGTTAGCTTTCTAAGAATTTCTGTGTATGTTTTATTACTATCAGGTAATGAAAGTATCCCATGGTCTTCTAAAAAATGTATTCTAAAATTAAAAATAAGATTTTAAAATATGCTACCTCCTTTTGTCTTAACAAGAATATTCTCATCGTATTTTGGTAAACTTACTGTTTCTTCCTTTCTCTTCAGCTATATGTATTTTACCAATCTTCAGGAAAGGTCTCCAAAAATTGAACGGGCTGCTTTGGATGGAACAGAACGGGAAGTCCTCTTTTTCAGTGGCTTAAGTAAACCAATTGCTTTAGCCCTTGATAGCAGATTGGGCAAGCTCTTTTGGGCTGATTCAGATCTCCGGCGAATTGAAAGCAGTGACCTCTCAGGTACCTGAGAAATGCGTTTCCTTATTTTTATTTGAGTTATTGAGATATTCATCATTAGCATTTGTATTTTTCTTCCATTATATTATTTTTGTACACATTTCTTTAGTTTTCTTCACTAAAAGTAGTCAGCATCAAATTGGTTGGGAAGCATTCTTTCTTCAACCATCAGCATAGTTACTCCCTTTGTTATCTAATAATGGACCAATTTTCTTTATCTGGGCTCTGTAAATAATATATTTCTAATGTATCTCTTCTCCTTTCCTAATTTTTCTGCTCTAGTTTATGTTTTCATCATCTCTGACCTGAATTCTAGCCTATGATTAGTCTCCTCCCTGCTGACTTTCCCCCCTGAAAGTTTAAATTATTTTCTGAAGCATGATTTCTAATCATGTCAGTATTGTACTAAAACAATCTTAAGAGTAGTCTCATAACCTGAAGCCTAGTTGTACACTTAAGTTGGCATTTGGCTTTCACAAACTCATTATCAAACTCAAATGATCTTAACATTTCTGGTGTTTTAGCCAAATTAAGTCATTTGTTGGTCTTCATATGTACTTTATTTTCTCATTTCTCTGTAGACCTCTGTCTACAAATCATAGTTACTTCCCCTCCCCTCAGTTTCTGATGCCAAAATGTGTAGCCTCACTAGTGATCAGGCAAATGAAATTAAAATAATACACTGTTTATGTCTATCAGAGGGGCACCTCTTTTTGAGAGGACCATCCTTTCCCCACTTGTTTTCTAATAGCACCTTGGTTATAAATCAAGTGACTGTATTAGTTTGTTTCTGGACTCTAATGTTCCCTTGGTCACTTTGTCTTCTGTGATATTATATTGTCTTAATTATTATAACTTTATAACAGATTTATCTGGCAATGTACACTGTTAATATTTTTTCAAGATTACTTTGACTACTCTTGACCCTTTGTATTTCCATATACAGTTTACAGTCAGCCTCTGAGTTTCCACCAAAAAGGAAAAACCTATTGGAATTTTGACTGGGTGTCTTTGAATTATAGATCAATTTAGGGAGAATTATCATCTTTATAATATTAGTCTTCCAAACCGTGAACATGGTATATCCCTCTCTCTATCTAGAACTTTAATTTCTCTCAATGTTTTATAGTTTTCTGTAAAGAGGTCATGCCCGTCTTTTATTAGTTATTCCTTGGTATTTGATGCTTTTGAGTCCTAGTAGTAAAGAGTATTCTAAATTTTTAATATTACATTTTCTGATTGTGACTGTAATGTAGAATGATACAGTTTCCTTTTTTCCTCCCTTCTGGTATATTGAGCTTGTTCCCAGGGACCTTGCTAAATTTCACTTATCTGTAGTTTCTTTAGGACTTTCTACATTGCAGAATCATTTGTCTACAAATGGTGAGAGTTGTATTTCTTCTTTTCCTGTCCTTTTTCCTGGTTGCCTCATTACACTGGCTGGGACCCCCAATACAATGTTGAATACAATAATAGAATGCTTGGATTTGTTTTAGTTTTTCTTGATTTTATGGAAAGCATTCAGTATTTAATGATTAGGTATTATGTTTGCTGAAGTTTTTCTGTAGGTAACTTTTATCAGATTAAGGAAGTTCCTTTCTGTTGCTAGTTTCCTAGAATAAATCAAACTTGGCAAGATACAATATCCTTTTTATATATTGCTGGATTTGATTTCCTATTGGTTAAGATGTTTGCATCTGTATTCATGAAAGAGATTGCCCTATAATTTTCCTTTCTTATAATGTACTTGTTGGGGTTTTGCCATCAAGGTTATATTGACCTCATAAAGTAGATCAGGTCCTCATCATGTCTGGGGTCCTGTGGTGACACTGTTGACATCTCTTTTTCCCTGGCTGTCTACTTGAGGCCATCCTTCCACTACCACCAACTAATCTTTTTCAATCACTCCTTTTATTACTGTTTTAAATTTAATTTTAGTTTTCATCAAAGTAATACATGTAAACATTTATGAAAATCAAATGGTTCTACTTGGCTTATGAAAAATAAGTCTACTGCTCTTCTTCTTCCTACTCTCATTTCCCACTCTCAGAGGCATCCACTTTCAGTTATTTTAAAATAACTTGCTTTAAACTGTTATTTCTTGACCTTTCAATTTTAGACATCTCAAGTTGACTTCCTTTGGTGGAAGATAAAGATTTTGCTGTCTTAAACCATATATCCCCAAAATACCCATATGAAGTCTCCTCCCATCCTCCCAGCATAGTGATACCATAATTTTTAAGTTCGTTCTTAATTATTTGTTATTTATGGCTATGTAGGTATTACCATCAGCTACATTTCCTTCTATGGATTTTTTTCTCCCTGAAGTTAATCTTGTCTAATGTAAATATTACAAATATTATTTCAATACATAGAGATGCATCAAGCTAGCCATCTTCTTTGTTTTTAATTGAAATCATACCTCCTGAATTTCTTGGTCATCTTGCTCCAGTCTGGATTTGCTTGCTTTCTAGGCCAACTTCCTTTCAACGTTATCATCCTGGGAATGCACCTGCCAGTCTCCTTGGTGCCGAACCTCCTGTTTTTCGGATTCCATTACTCTGGTTAATTCCTTTTTCTTGATAGAACACATCCTCTATTAGCTTCTTGAAAAGGGTCTCATAGAAGGTTAAAATTCTTGATCTTATATGTCTGAATGTTTCTTTTCCTTACACTTGGGTGATAATTTGGATGTGTATGGAATTCATGTTTCATAACTATTTTCTCTCGGCATTTTGAAGACAGAACTCCATTATCTTCAAGCATCTCGCCTCATTGGGATGTTTGATGTCATTGTGATTCCTGGCTTTTTATGTGTGATCCTTTATTTTCCCCTCCAGAAGCTTTTAACATCTTCTCTTTTTCCCCAGTGTTCTAGAATGTGATGATGATATGCCTTTGTGTGATCCCCTCCCCCTTACCTCTTTGTTTCTTTCATTGAACTGAAATTTATTAGGTGAGTCTTTTCTATCTGGAAACTTACACCTTGAGTTCTGGAAAGCTTTTCTATGTTATTTCTTTGATGATTTATTTTCTATATTCTCATTCTGTGACTTTTATTCAGATGTTGGACCTTCTTAATTATAACTGTATTTTTCTCTCCTATTATCAATCTCTTTGTCTTTTTGTTCTGCTTTCTGGGAGAATTTTTCAAATTTATCTTCCAACCTTCTTGTTTTGTTTTTTTTTAATTTTCAAGTATCATGTTTTTAATTTCCAAAGGCTCTTTTGTGTTCTCTGAATGCCTTACCCCCAACCTGTTCTTTAGTTTTTTTCTTCTGCTTTTTATTGTCTTCTTCTCCAAGTTCCCTTGTTATGTTTGTCTTTGGCTTTGAATTTAAAAGTAGAAATTTTCTTTAAGTATCTGGTGATCCTTAGTTGTGTGTTTATATTTAATAGGCACTAAAAATGCTGATTTTCACATTGCTGCTGCTTGTGAAGTGGTAAGATTCTTAGGTACACTTGGCTGTTTTCTAATGGAACTCCTAAGTGACACTATCTGAAGTTCTTTTCTCTGTATACCTGTTTTCTCAGGTTTTTTGTTTGATTATTGTTGGTGGTGGTGGTTTGTTTTTCCTAAGGGAAGTCTTCCAGTCTTCTGTAGTAAGATAAAAGCTGGCTACCAGTATTTTTGGAGTCTACTGGGAGAAGGCTGTTGGGGAGAGTCTCAGCAATCAGAAAGTAGAATTTTAAGTAATTGCGCTGTACAATCCTGGGTATGGTGCTACCTCTTTGTCTTTGCCGGGTACGTTAAAGTCTGATTCAACCTCTTTAGAAAGTGTATCTTCAACTGTCTGCTAGAGGAAAGGAGGAGATCCAGGAGCTGCATGACTTCTTGTACTTATGTTCAGTCAGTACTCTTCTTTCAGCCCCACCCACATAACTCCTCCCTTTGCTCCATCCCAAAATACCTGGTGCTTCCAGTTCCTGAGCTAATTGGTTTTGTTGTTGGCTTCATTGACTGCAGGGATTTAGCTTTCTCTGGGCTACTGTGTTATCTCTGGTCTTTCTGTTCTCCAACTTCTAAATTTTATATCGCTTTTCTGCTCTTAGGTCTTCTTTGTCCTTATTGGTTTATACCTTAATTTTTATTATTTATTTATTTTTGCTGAGGAAGATTAGCCCTGAGCTAACATCTGTGCCGATCTTCCTCTATTTTGTATGTGAGTTGCCAACACAGCCTGGCTGACGAGTGGTGGTTGCTCTGCACCCAGGATCTGAACCTGCAAGCCTGGGCCACCAAACCAGTGCGTGCCGAACTTAGCCACTATACTATGAGGGCGGCCCCTATACCTGAAGTTTTTACTGCCATTTTAGTAGATTTTTAGGAGAGAGCGTAAGTAAACTCATTTGAACTCACCGTGGATCTGAATGTTGACTTAGGCAATGCCTTCTTATCTGAAATATGTCCCCACTTTTTTCTGTTTATTAAAACTTAGCTTTATGCCTGCCTCTTGGAACTTCCCTGATATTTCCAGAGTATAAGCTAATATCTTTCTTTGATTGAACTCATCACTTAGGAACCATAAAAATGTTCCATGGATATTTGAAGGACTATTATGAGGAAGAGGGAAGGAATAAATATATTTTTTCTTTTTGGGTAAAGGAGAAGCTATAGGGTTGGAGAGTGGGGCACAGATTTCAGCCCGATTCTGAAAGAACTTTCTCACATTTCAACAATAGAATAGGTTGCCCCTTCAGAGTCTGGATGGTTCTATGTCTGGGATGTTGTGGAAGGAATTCTTTGAGGTGAGGCTTGAACCAGGTAACCTCTGAGTCAGTCATTTTTTCTGTGTTCTGAATGGCCAGGGAGGGTTAGGGTGGAGTTGTCCTTCACAGGTGCCTTAGGTGTACTTAGCGAGTTGGGGAGGCCAAGAATATAGAGCCCTGGGCTCACCACCACTGCTTCATCTAGAGGAGTACCATTTTTATATGTTTTATATGTTAGAGCTTTTCATAAAATTTAATTTGAAAAGCAGACTCTGTTTTAAAAAAACACGTTTGAAAACTTCTCTGAATTCTTTTCTGTCTTTCTGTGAACTAGAGTTTTTACTATGTATTGGGCATTCATTTGCTTTTGATTGCACTTGAATGTCTAGTCTATTATCTATTTTCTGGTGTGTATGTATCTTTTCTTCTCAGAATGATTTTTTAAGTTTTAAAGTGGAGAGCTTACCATATTTTCTTTTGCAGTAAATCTAACCGGTATTCAGTAGATAGTTGTTGAATGTATGACTTGACCCACATGAGTCATTTCTGTTTAATGTTCTCCTTTCCAAGGTGCCAACCGGATAGTGTTAGAAGACTCTAATATCTTGCAGCCTGTGGGACTGACTGTGTTTGAAAACTGGCTATATTGGATTGATAAGCAGCAGCAAATGATTGAAAAAATTGACATGACAGGTCGAGAGGGTAGAACAAAAGTCCAGGCTCGAATTGCCCAGCTTAGTGACATTCATGCAGTGAAGGAGCTGAACCTTCAAGAATATAGTAAGTGCTGATGGTGTGCTGCTCATTGCAGGATTCATGTTTGTTCTCAGAAATTAGGATAAAATTAAAGTGTTCTTTTCTGTCTTCTTACCTCTTAGTTTGAAGATTTTCATGCACTTTTAGTATTTCGATTTTCTTTTCAACTGTTCATGTGTTTAAAGTCTTATATCAAACTCAGCTGGGAGCTTTTTCAAATCAGATCTCTTTCCCCATAAAACAGGAGTGGTGGAAACGAATGGTCTTGTTCATTTTCAAAAATTTTTCCCAGGAATGACAAAGACTCTGCTTGTCATACCTTCCCTCCCTCTCCTTCAGCCCCTTTAAGAATACTGGTGTAAAGCATATATTTCTTTTGCTCTTTGTATACCTTTATAGTTTGAACAAAAGCAAAAATTATATTTATATAGTGGTAAATATAGTTAGTATGGAATAAGCTTATTCTTAAGCAAAAGCGAAACAGACTAAATTTAGTGTGTAAACTTAGAGAAGACTGTGCTTAATAAGTGCTTGTTTTTTACACTCTTGGATAAATTTTTCAATTCTCAGCTTAGAAAAGTAGCCATAATCATTTTTTTAATCTTATTGAACACTTCTGAAAATGGCTAATCATCTTTCCCTAGTTTCTTGTTAATATGTGTCTGTAATCAGAAGTGCCCTCATAGCAGTCACTACTGTAGGACTTACATGATTGTACAGGAATGCTCATGTTAAATGGAGGACTGAAGAGAGAACTATTGGAACTCCTTAACTTCTCAGTACAGTGCTTTCAAATCAAGTTGGAGTGTGAAAGAATTGAGTAATGAGAGCACCATTGCTTGTTCCAGTACTCATTATGTTGTCACTGTTCATGAACTTAGAAGTTAAGTTAGAGAGGTATTTGAGAATTAGAAAGTTAGAATTGGGGCCGGCCCCGTGGCATAGCTGGTAAGGTCGCACGCTCCCTGCTTCGGCGGCCTGGGGTTCGCTGGCCTGGATCCCAGGTGTGGACCTACGCACCACTTATAAAGGCATGCTGTGGCAGGCGTCCCACATATAAAGTAGAGGAAGATGAGCACAGATGTTAGTTCAGGGCTAATCTTCCTCAAAAAAAGGAGGGGGAAATAAAGTTAGAATTGTTGTTGTTCTATGTTATGACATGTAACTCATGCTGAACATTTAATAGAAATAAGGTAGTAATGACTCAATACCTAAGTTATTTATTCAGTTGCTGTATGAATATTTTATTACAGAAAATCTCCACGGACATTTTCAGAATTTCACCGGGGATACCTTTATTGTAATTCAACATTTAAATATGGCTTTATATTTGGAACAATATTTTTTTAAATTTCTAATAACATTAAAGAGAATGAGGTTTTCGATTATCAAAAGTGTCATGGAATTAAAAGATTGAGAAATACTACTATATAGGTTGTATATTCTGATGTAATGACTGATGTCTGTTTGGGACAGCTATGTAGTATGACACACCTGCTGACTCTGCTGACTCCCTCAATTTCATTAACACGCTAAAGCAGTTCTGATGTGTTTTTGAGACGAGAGTCAGAGAGTAAATGGATGGCTACATTAGATGTTGGTGTTCAGTGATGACAAATGTCAAGTTGCTTTTTTAACACAAGCTAAGTAGAAAATTCCAAGCAATGATTTCATTAAATACATCTTGTGAGACAGACTTTGAAAAGTTGTGTGACAGTGTATTTGTTTAATTTAACCCCAGTGTGAGGAAATTAAACATTTGTAACATTGCAAGTTATATTTTGCAAATGACTGAGCAAATAATTTTGATTGTTTCTGAGTAATTGAGTTCCATGTGAACTTAAGTTTTTTTCCTTCTATTACTCTTTAATTTTCAGTGGATTCCTCATTCAAATGTACTTTTTGAGTAAAATCGTCTCATCTTTAAGAAAGGTAGAATTTCTGAGTTAAAATCTTTAGAAGAGTTTTTGTATTTTAAGTAGAAAAATATCCAGGTCTCAGCATTCTACCAAGCAAGTTTTTTTGTTTCAATAATCATCTTTTCTTATTCGCAAAAATTAGCATGAGCTCTACCATTAACCTTGCTTAAAATACTTGAAAAATATTTTATATGTAAATATGTAAAGACAGTGGTTAGATACAGGTGTTTTGTGTTTTTAAGTTGTCCCCATTTTCTTATAGATTGTATAGAGATGGAGTGAGGAATTATTTTGTATACAAAAACAATCCAAAGTGATTTTACATTTGGTTTTCTTCGTAATTTTACATTTGGTTTTCTTGGTAATTGATTTTGACTAGGCTGTCCTTCCTTCCTTCCATCCCTTCTTCCTTCCTCCTTCCCTCCCATCTCCCTCCCTCCCTTTCTTTTCTTTTTGTTTTTTTGGCAGGACAGCACCCTTGTGCTCAGGATAACGGTGGCTGTTCACATATTTGTCTTGTAAAAGGAGATGGTACGACAAGGTGCTCTTGCCCCATGCACTTGGTTCTGCTTCAAGATGAGCTATCATGTGGAGGTAAATATGTTATTATTTTCTTGTGCAGGTCTAAATGCCAATTAACATGTTCCATATTTTAGTCTAGCATTCTATGATTTGGCAGTGAAATTGCTCTTTTTCCTAATTTGATTCATCATTTATATTCTGTTCATCTGCACTATACTAGGCTTTTGGGTTATTCTAACAATGAATCCATCATGGCAAGTGATAGGTGTAACTTAATTCCGGAACTAAGGATAAAGTGCCCTTATTGGGGGAAACTCATCTGGTGAGGAGTATTTCCTAATGATAAAGTTGCTTTCTCCACCCCAGAGGGTAACAAGATGAATTAATTTTGCCTCCTATAATCTCTATCCACTGAATTCTAGATTCTGTCAGTTTATGTATCCTTCTTGGGAATATATCCAGTGAAAAGAATATTCTTTTGTTCATATCCTTCAGTAGTTCCCTATTGTTTTTCTTATTTATCTTGGGGAAAAAAATTGTTTATATCACTGGGTGGTAACAATGTTGTAGTGAAACTAGTTCAGTCACTCAATGAGAGCATAACAAATTGGTACATTCCTTTGTTAAGCATAGTATGGTAGCATCAAACACGATAATAATATTTATTCCCTTAGCTCGGAAATCCTCCTCTTGGGGATAATTCTAAGTCAATTCAACCGAAGGAAAAAGACTGTTCTCTACAGTGGGAGAAGTTTAAAAAACAGTCTTATTTCTAATGATAAGAAAACTATTAAGTAAAATAACTAAGTTTATACAGCTATTAAGCATCATGATCATAAGCTGATGTAAAAATGTAGCCAAAATTTG